CTGCTTGTCTCCATATCTGCTTCTGGGCAAATAAATCTCACACACAATCATGTAACTCCAGCCTCCTTCACTAGCACTTCTTGAACAGATTTCTAATAGTTTGAAGCTCCCTGGCTCCACTCCTATGATGCTTGCCTGCTTCTTCTTTTTCCATTTAGCTGGGTTTTGGAGAAGCATCATAATGAGATACTGAGCTACTAATTCTGCCATTTTAATAAATAATTGAATTTCAATCCTTTTTTTTCTTTTTCCTTTGGAGATATCTCTGTTCATCCAGAATACCGCATTTTCCCCCCAGCTGGTGTTAAGATCTGATTAGTAAGAGATGTCCCTGCCTGAATTAAGGTACAAATGAGAACATATGCCAAGGTCATTAAGACAGATTTGATGTAAATTAGAGAGATAGAAAGAAAGAGAAAAGTGGCACGGGGTGGGAGGAGAGAGAGACAGTTCAAGCAGAAGGTAGTACCACCCATTGATCCAATCAGTGTTTCTGTTTGTCGTTCTTTACCCTGGTCTTCTCTGTGGAGGGTGTTCTGAGGTCATTCAAAACTTCACTACTAATGTGTTTTAACAAGCAAAGGAATTAATATTCATTGGCTACAAAATTCTCTCATTCTATTGGTTAAATTATTCCCTCACTTCTAAAGTTATTTAGTCCCATGCTCAGTCTTTTTTTCTGAGTAAGTGGGTTTCTTGGGTCGATGGGCTGTGAGTCAGTGATTGCTACCTCCCCCTGCCAAAATTAACTTTTACCCAGTCTGAGCTGATTTCAGCACAGCTGCTGAGTTGGCTTTCCTTGTGGTCTGTAAATTCTGCATTCTTTACATCCATTATCAGTGATAGATTCTTCTCCCCCAGCCTGTTAACCTCCCCCTAGGTCTGAGATAAACCCATCTTCTTCTTATCTCAAGTTCCCTGTGGTGGCTTAATTTACAGTCTAAATTCCAAGCATCCATGAAGGCATATTCAGGGGGGTTTCAGTGGCTATTGGTGGTGACAGATGCCATCTGTCCCATAACTTGGGGTGATGTTTCTTTGGCCAGTGATATGTGTATGAGAAGTTGTCTCTTTACACAGTTTTCCACAGAGGGAATTTTTGTCTGTATGCATGAACCAGGATGTCATCTCCACCAGGCCTGGAATTAGTGCCATTCTGTTGCTTCATTCTGTGCTTATATCATGACAAAGCCCTTCCGTGGCCCTAACAGTATTTGAGACAGGCAACTGTGCTCTTTAAGGCCTTACAGCTGGTCTGCCAACTATTCTGCCAAATGAACTATGATTTTACCATATAATAACTTAATTATCCTTAAAATCTGAGTCTGCTCTAATATATTATGAAAAATCAGTTCCATGGAAACTGCTTCTTGCAAATCAATCTTTAGAGGCAGGTCATGTGAATGAAAAAAATACATCTGAATCCTCTGCTCTTATGGTGCTCAATGAAATAAAAAGTGGCTCCGTGTAGTGTACATGTCCCTGTGGACTAAGTACTGGTTGAGTCATTTGTTTACTTACTGACCAGTGATATTGAATATCAGCAGAAGTTCCCCTGTCTCTTGTATACAACACAAAAGATGTATGATGCTTAGAATAAACTAACAGTCCCTTTTGTAACTGTTGAACATAAGGCTCAATTAAAAATTCAAAATATGTGCTTTGACAGAATATTAAGTATTGGTTTTGGTTGTACTCTGAAATTAGAGTGTGCGAGTTCACAATCACAGAATAACACCTAGAACATTTTTTGGTATCAAAGATAAAAGACCTCTTAAGGAGATAGTTATCCCAATGTACTTCCTCAATGTCAGAGTAATTAATGTAATTTTCTGTAAATCTTGCAAGGTTTGTCTTTTCTGTAGAAGGTCATTCCTCTGCAATCATGTGCTTCTGTAAATAAAACCTAAAGAAGTTTGAGGCCACCTTTTGAGTTTCTTGGCTCTTCATACCTCAACTTTAAATATAATTTTTTTCAATTTTGTGTGTCTGATCTAGGTTAGGAATGTGTGTGCTTAGTACTCTATGTCCTAAAAAAAAGACTGGTGAGAGGGGATTTAACTGAGCTGATGCTACAGGCCAGGTCTCTGTGCCAGCACAGCGCCCACATGCTCAGTCTGTAACCGATTAGACAGGATTAGTGTGCTGTCTTTCTAATACGCACACACTGGTGTTTGCCTTCACAGCTTAAATGGCTTCATATGAGAAATTTTTTCAATTTTCCAAGTTGACACAGAACACTTTTTAATCCAGCAATCTCAGCAGCTGAGGCTGGATGTGATCCTGCATATTCCCAAATTCCAGCTGTCCCAGCCAGCAGCCAAGCTATCAACAGACTGAGTGCAGAGCTGAAGCTATGGAAAGCACAGCAGATATTCCACAAAACTACAGACTAAAAAAAAAACGTTTAAGAGCCATTTAACAGCCATTTCTCAGCTGGTAAAGATGGTGAGGCTTTTTTGTTCATGTTAGACTGGAAAGGCTTAATTTTCAGTTGCTGGTATTTCCATACAGGTTGAACAGTATTCCTGGTGAGGACAATCCTGCTGAATGGGTGGAACTAAGTCCTGTGAAGAGCTGGGATAACTAACAGTGTTTTCCATATCTTCCCTGTGAAGGAACAGGTTTGCTCAAAACTATGACAGGGCCTGTGTTCACCCCCAAGCACTCAGAAATGCAAATAAGGTAGGCCATAGAAGACAGAATGTGGTTTGCAGTTGGGCTTTGGAAAACTCCCAGTCAATGCACTAACAGTCCATGGCTAATCAGTTCTCACCTCTGGGAAATCAAAAGTTGCTACTATGTTGGAAATTGACAAGACTAATAAAAACATGCTTTCCTAGGGGATACAGACACAAGATATTAATGAGTTTAAACTATTAAATTCTGAACTTCATAGAAAAGTCTTTCCAAACCAAACTGAGGACAGTGTCAGCAGTAATACACTTGAAAATTGCAAACACAAAAGGAAGAGATGAAAACGGCACTACTTCACTATAGTTGGGCATGCACACAAGGGCAGGTTCAAGTAGTCAGATTGGGAATGGAGAGAAAAGGTGCATGATGCCAGGGTGGTAAAGAAACTTAATTATGCCCAAGAGTGTTATTCACTCTGCACAGTTACCAATAATGCAACTGGATACAGGGCATCCACAAAATTTTTCCTGTCATGACTAATGGTGAACTGTGATAGAGCTCAACACAGAGCAAGACCAGAAGTGTTTTCCATCAAATAGGCAACTGCTGTGACAGACTGCTCTTTCACACTTTCCAGGCCCTCTCCCCAGGAGACTAAACTGGTCATCTGTTCTAAGGAGGAAATATGCCATAACATTTTAATTTCCTGGCCCTATTTGGTTAAATGTGTAGACAGTGAAAGGTATTTGGTTGATCACTGCTAGATGATACACAAACTGCCCTTCCAGTGAATAAGGTCCTTGATTTCTTTTGTTGTTAAAGGCTTCTGCCCTTTCACTTATTATCTATTGCTTAGAGGAAGAGACTATTACTATATGCATATAAAAGTCTGACAAATTCAGCTCAGTAACAATCATGAAATGCAAAAAAAAAAAAAACCTGACAAAAAGGGAATTAATTCATCAGTACTGTCACTCTGCAAAAGAAAATTATTGACCCATTTTTCTGGATTTGATGCAGAAGCAAAATGATATTAGATTTTTATCTGCAAAATTATATTAGATGTTTATCTGATGAACTCCAAATATATAGCAAAATTGGGGATGAGTTCAAAACCTTTCTGCACCCAAACAGCTCACCTTTACTTTGACAGAAATCAAGTCTTTACAAAACTTATCATTAATTCTAGGTGAAAATTAGACTAACTTTTCTAATAAAATCTCTTATTGTACACTGAGCATGCCTAATCTCCTTTAGGAAATGACCATTGACTGGGTCAGACCGTTATTTCCTCCTTTTAATGGTCTTTAAATTTTCACCTAGTATGGTTGTTTCAGGAGATACTAGTTCCATAAACTGCTCTACATTCCATTTAATTCACACCCAAAATTTAATTCATATTAACCTTGGGACCTGCCTTCTCTAAAGAGGACTCAAATTCTGTGGCTGCTGCTGTGATGGATTGGCCAGAAGACTCCAAGCAGTAAGTCAAGTCGCTTTTCCACACCCAACACTAATGCATTATTTACACGGGATGCAAATTGTAACAGCATGTGAAAAGACCCGCAGGATCACCTTTGAAGAAGCATTAGGAGGCACTGCTCAACAATTTTTTCTGTGTCTGGAGCAGGTAAAGGAGTTTCTAAGCTTCAGCTGAAATGCTTACCCCAGTGCTTAACTTGCATTCACCGAGTATGGGAAAGCAGCACTGGAATGGCAATGGCAAACCCAGGGCTGCCGCCCCGGCTGTGCGCGCCGCTGCAGCGGCCGCTCCGCTGGGAACACCGGGCACCGGCTGGGAGCCCCGCCAGCCTCCGAGCCCGCTGCCCTCCCCGCCGCGGGCCGAGTCGGCGCCCAGCGGCGGGTTCAGCCGGGGAGCACCCCCCTTTTCCCCAGCGTGGGTGGGGGGACCCAACCCAAGGACTTGGCTCTGCGCCCGCAGCCTGGCTGACCTCAAATGCCGCTGCGGCGTGCGGCTTTCCCGCACGCTGCCGGAGCCCACCGCGGGCAGGGCCGGAGCCCCCGCCCCGCTCCCCGCGCTCGGCTGGCATCGCCCGTCCCGGGCACCGCGGAAGCCCCGGCACCGGGCGGGAGGAACCCTGTGCACCCACCCCCGGGGCCGGTACCCAGCGCCCCCCGCCCGGCATGCCCACACCCCCCCGCCGCATCCCCGCCCGCCGCTCCCCGCCGCGCGGCCCCGCTCCCCTCCGGCGCTGGCGGGGGGCAGGCTCGGCTTGTTCCTGCCTCCAACTTGCCCCAAGTTAACTCGGGTTTCCCCCGCCCCGCAGGGTCTGCCTGGGCTCCCGGTCCTCCGGGAGGGCGGGAGGGAGGGGAAAGGCGTGTCCTGCCTGGGCTGCCGCCGCCGCCGCGGTTGGAGGCAGATCGGAGATATAAAAGACCTGGCCGGAGACCGGCGGTGGCTTCAGTGAGCGCGGACGCTCAGGCCGTGGGGAGGGGGCGCAGCGGGGCGCGCGGAGCGGCGGCGGGACGGGCGGAGGCAGCGCGGGGCTCGCCGTGGGCAACCCCAATGCGTGGACTATCGGCTGCTGCATTATGCTGGAGCTACAGTTCCGCTGAAGGGAGTTTGCACACGGCCGGCTGGGCTGGACTGCAGCGCTGCCGTTCCTTATGAAGAAGGCACAAGTGAGTGCGGCCGGGCGGCGGCGGCGGGGGGCGCCCACCGGCCCGCGGGCGCGGGGCCGCAGGCGCGGAGGGGCGCGGGCCGGGGCAGCCGCCGGGCGGCTCCCGGGCTGTCCGAGAGATGGGGGGTACCCGCCGGGGGTGGGAGCCGCTGCCGCCGGGGAACGGGCTGGGGGAGCGAGGTGAGGGGGAGAAAAAAAAAAATGCCGCCCGGTCTTGCCCTCGGCGTTCCGCAGCCCCTGGAAAAGTTGCAGCAGGCGGCCGGACCAGCGGTCGAGCCTTGGGAGATCTCGGAAGGCACTGGGAAAAATTGCCGTAGTAAATGAGTTGTCAGTGTTACCCTGACGAGTGCGAGAACATGAAATAATCGGGGGCGGCGGTGCAGTGGCTGTGGTTCCCGGTGTCTCCCCGCACGCCGCTCCAGCGTGCGGCGCCGGGAGGGTGCTGTGGGAACCCCGGCATTTCGCCCTTCGTCCTCCTGCATCCCGCCGGGAAGTGCCGCTGCGGGAGCCTTGCCATTATTTCTGCAGGTTCTGTAGAGATTTCATCAATATGCTATACGTTTTTTAGAAGGAAGCAAGGGACAGACATGAGTGGAAAACTGTAACGAGAAATGGCTCAAGGAAACTCTTAACAGGAGAAAGTTTAAGGCTGGGCTTCGCAAGGTGCCGGTACCCTCTATCTGGGCAGACCCCAGCGAGAGCCAGGACTGCTCCGGGAGAGAACAATGCATGGACACGCACGCCCCTCGCTGCCTCTGCGCTGGGGGCTTTTCCCTCCTCCTACATTTCTGCGATAGAAGCGAGATACTTTTTGCCTTCGTCTGTTTCTTGGCAATTGCTGGGTCACCTACACACCAGTGAAGACACTTCAGAATACAGTCACTGGAAAAGACATAAAACATATCTTAAAAAAAGATCGTACCAAAGTATCTTGAGTAGTTAAATATTTTTTTCAAGAGATGAGAAGAATTAGAAATTCTCATTTTCTGAAATATTAAATTTCACCTGACCGAAGCACTGGAGAATGTACCCATGTTTAAGAACTTAAAACTTGGAGGCTTAATTTTTGTGATGCTGGAGTATACTGGGGTTTTATCTTAAATTATCAGCTCTGAATTTTAGCAATGTATATCCATTGCTGTTATTCACATTAGATTGCTATAGATGCCTTGAACAAAGATGTTTCAGACCCTGTATACACAATTATTTACATGTGCTGAATAGATTATTAATTGTGAAGGGTCTCTTAAAGTCTGAGAGCCGTGTTTATGTGTTTACGAAGGAGGATTTATGAGTGGAAGCAGTCAAGCATTTTATTGCATTTGAACTGTAAACTTATAAAAGTCAACAGACTACTTTTGCAAATTCAGAGGAAAGCAGGAACAATCCCTCTCTCCCAGTAAACTGGGAAAGACAGGCAATCTTGGCATTCAGGACCATATGGCTTGACTCAGGGACTCACAAGCTGTAGCCTGTGGAACAGCTTCTTGTCATGGTGGTGAAGCATCTGTCAGCCTTCAAGCAGTTATGCTTCCTGCTTTTTGGAGGCACTGACAGACTCCTAGTTCTCCAAAGGGTTGTTTCCTATATTTTAAAGAGTAGCAAACAAATGTGATACCAAACCATTAATCATTCCAAGGTGATCAGAGCAGGAGATACTTCAAGAAGACTTGCCATTAAAACCATGAAGACCCTGTGCAAAGAAAGAGAGCAAGTGAAGTGGGTACAAGAAAGAGGACTTAAGCACTTGAGGGCACTCGACACATTAAAGTAAACCTTAATCTATATGCTCTCCTGTGGCTACTTCAGTCATTATCTAGACTGGTAACTGTCATAGTGGAAAGAACAAGATCAGAAAACCAGGAAAAAGGTTAATATTTCTTACAATAAAATATTCTGCAACAGACATAGTACAGATAGCAAGAACCACACACTCACTGAGCCTTGCAAACACTTGGTAATGCCTGGATATTGTTTAAAATAAATCAGGGATTTTGATCTTTGAGGTAATGTTGCAGAGTGATAATATACAACTAGTGCAGCTGAAGGAGTAGCTGAGTCATACGTCAGTACAACGAAAGTGCTGAAAGAAGAGTTGTGTAGAGCACTAGACTCAATCTGAGCAACTTGGTCCGTTTATTTAAATCAGTCTTAACCTGAGAAACCACAGGAACTGCACATTCCCCAATGGTGTCAGTCCTAGAAGTGATGTTTATGAAACTCCGTGGTTTGATGGCTATATAACCCCCCTGTTTTAAACATACCAACACCTGGATTTTTCTTTGTAAGTCATGATTTCCTTAAAGAAGTGATTAAGCTTTTAGGGTTCAGTCATACAAATCCTTTTTCAATGAGGCTATTTCCATGAATTAATCTTATTGAAGGATTACTTGGATGAGAGGATTTGTAGGCTTATATACTTAGTAATTAAAGCTATTATCAGAAGTGAGTTTATGTCCTTTTGCATGCTAACATGACAACAAATAAAATATCACTGACGTCTGGACAGCCTTTTACAATTTGAATAAACAGGGTTAGTGAAGGCAGTGTGATATGATCTTGCAAAAACATGTAGCAGTTCTCTGATTTGCTTGTTCTTTGTGTGATTTGAAGACAATCTAAATAGGATTAAGTTACTAAGAAATATGTTGCAAAGCGGGGTCACCTATGGTGTAGCTCTGAAGGCTGATAAGGTGTCACAGATACATGGTTCAGGCACTAGATCTCCTGCAGTAAGTTAGATGCACATCCTCTTAGAAACCTCAGTATTGAAAGTGTCTTAGATTTCAGCACAGCTTTCTACCTCTGAATGTGAAATTATTGGCAGTTAAATTACCATCTTAGGTTGTCTTGTCTGTATGTTTGTGTCACTAAAGTGGAAGCCTTTGTAGAGATTATTGTGGACCGGTACTGGAAAAAGAATTAGTACTTAGATTGGCACTTCTAGTCTCTTATCAGCAGGCTAAATCAGAAATGCAAATCAGATACCTGATACCTTGGTGTGAGCTTGCTTTTAGGGGAAATAGTGACTTCTGATCATCAGTCTCTCTTGCTCATTCTTCAAAAAATGAACACTTAGGAACTGGAAGATGTTTGGAGCTCATGGCAGTTATAGATCTGCTGCTCATTAAATAGAGAATTTGCTGTAGCCAGAAAGATGCTGTGCTATTCATGTTAAGCAATGGACTAAGGTCTCTGTTCCCCTGGTTTTGCCTCTGCTCAAGGGAAGCCAGTTTGCAAGTACTGCAGCTGGAAAGAACATCCTGGAATAAAGAGTCCTATGGAGAATAAATAGCAGATGATCTGAAAGATTCAGGGGTGGGGGAGCGTTTTGTAAGGAATGTTTACTGATCTTTTTATTTATTTATTTTCTTCACCTGCTTTTATTATGCATCTGCAAGTTTTTATCTCTGTGAACTATTTGGCACTTGGCTTTGTCGTTTAAAGTGAGGCCAGTAACCCAGTCTTCTCCTGACCCAGTTTTGCCATTGCACTGAAATTTGGTTTTTCCCTTTATGCACTGCATGTCAGTCCTTCAGGTACGGCTCTGCAAGCTGACAGTGCCATTTTCCAAGTTTTGTTATGTGATTTAATGGTATGCTGGCTCATGTAATCACCATATTGTATGAAAGTTAAGAGTTGGCAAGATGCAGCCCTTGGCTTCAGATGGGCAATGCTCAGTATGCAGTATGTAAACACAACACCCATTTATTAGAAGCAAAGGAAGGAAAAATCTCCCTACGCAATTCCATTTGAGTGTTGTGGGAGCTGACATGAAAACGAAAGTGCTTGTTCTTGCCCTGGTCTTTCTTTGGTGTGCCAAACCTGAGCCTTTTAAACACACTGTAAAACCGCTTGTTTTTTGTTAGTTGTGTTTTTCCCCGTGTGTTTGTGGGAGAAGGAGATGGATGAATGTAAGGCGAGTGGCAAGGGGTAGCACTTCTCTTTTAATTTTATTGTTTGGCCCATGTTTGTATTGCCTACCCAGTCATATGTAAACCTGCAAAACTGACTTTTTGTAAATATTACCGATGCTGAAATAACTGGCTGCAGGGAGCATGTGAAATACTGATTTCTTTGCTGGATGGTTTTACTTATTGACAAACATAGTGTCAGACATCTATTAGTATGTGAATGAAAATATGACAAAATAAAAATGGTGTTAAGTATTTTATTTTATTAAAGCTGGTAGCATGTACAATATCAGAGGTCTTTGATAGTATGATAATGGAGACATTAATTATACTGTATGTCTGAATAAAAGCCAGTTTAGGAGTTCAGATTTATGAACACTTTGGATCATATTAGTATAGGAAATAATTGTCATCTGATTTCCTACACTTATCTAATAACCATTGGGTGAATGATTGGTTGCTGTTTCTGTTTAAACCAGGTTTAAATTATACAAGGTAGATGAATACAGTAATGATTTTAAATCTCATTAGGAATTTTCTGCTCTATATGTGTTTTTCCATTATTGTTGCTATGTGGAGCAGACCTAATTTTTTGTGCAAGGTGAAAATAACATCAGATCTAGCATCAGCAAAATACCACTGCAGGTATTATGGTTCTCACTACTTTGCAGCCATACTGTGGAGGACAATGTTTTGCAAAGCGGGGAGGTAAATGCTTAGCTTCAAGCTATTTCATCACCACTTGAAGCAACAGTAAAAGTGGGACCATGTGGTGCAGGTTTGGGGGACTGAGTGCAGGCTCCTCTGTTGCAGGGCCAACTGCTGCTTCACAGTGGTCAGTGCTCCTGGAAGGGTCTCTCAAGCAGGTCTTCTGAAAGGTCACCTTTCACTTACCTCCCAGCCCTAAACTTTCACTGCTACTAAAGAACACTTGGTTATTTTTCTTTTTCTTCACTTTTGCTGGAAAACCTACCCGATGGAGAAAATTGAGTTTAGGACCCTCAAGATCATATTTAGCCCAAGCCACAAGAGCCACCCTTTCTCCCACCTGTGATCTGGCACCTGTATAACAGTCATTCACATGTGT